TCAGGAACTCAAACTCCAGTCCTTTGTAGTAGTAATCACTCTTAACAGCTGAGCATCTCTCTAACCCCTGAGACATGGAACTTTAGAACAGAGTTGAAACTGTTCAGGGGACTCTAAAGTTAGACTAATTGCATTTTGCTTTACGAGACAGCTTATGAGGGTGTGGGGATCACAGGCGAAAGGATACAGTTTGAATGTGAAATGTGCTCCTTTAATTAGGACGCCAGTCTTTTAACACGTGATTTCCAGCTGGTGGCACTGTTTTGGGATGTTGTGGAACTGTAGGGGTTTGGACTCTAGATGGCAGAACTATTTCACTAGAGTGGACTCTGAAGGTTATCCTCACTTCTGCTTCTGGACTGTGCTCTCTGATTTGTCTGCTGCCATGATATGAGAAGCCCCAATCACATTCTCACTGACAAAAATGCTACCATCCTAACCTGCATGATGGACCGAAATGCCTCTGAAATGGATCCAAAATCCATCCTCTCTCTTTTACTTTAAGTTGCTTTTGTCAGTGTATTAGTTAGTTTTCTACTGCTGGAATAAAAAAAAAATCAGGACCAAAGCAAGCTACAGAAAGGGTTATTTGGGTAATGGATCCAAAGGGATAAGAGTAAGAGTACATAATGGAGGGAAAGCATGGCAGCAAGCATGGTGGCTGGAACAGCGAGTTGAGGGCTCACTGTTCAAACCACAAGCAGGAAACAGAGACCAAACTAAAAATGGTATGAGTCTTTATATCTCTCAATACCTACCCCCAGTGACATCCTCCCGCAAGGCCACATCGTTTATGCCTGCAGGCCAGAAGAGGGCACCAGACCCCATTACGGATGGTTGTGAGCCACCATGTGGTTGCTGGGAATTGAACTCAGGACCTTTGGAAGAGTAGGCAATGCTCTTAACCTCTGAGCCATCTCTCCAGCCCAGGCCACATCGTTTAAACCTAACCAAACAGCACCACAAAACTGGGAACTGAGTATTAAAATGCTTGAAACTGTGGGAGATATTTCTCAGTCAAACCATCAGATAGGTATTTTGTAATAGCCACAAGAAAATGATGCAGAAAGGAATTAGGGAGTTGAACATCTCACAATGCACTGGTAGGTCTTCAGAACTAAGAAATTTCCTGGATAAAATGCCAAAATACCTGTTCTGAGAAATACTGCAAAATATGTTGCAATCATATATTTATGTGGCTGATTCCCTATGACATAGTAAGTGAGGTTCATGTAGACTGACACCATTTTCTTCATATTTCCACTGCCACCACTAAGCACAAATACTGGCAGATACATATACAGTTAATGTTTCAAAAATGAATGAATGGGGCATTACATGAATGGGCTTTTGTAAAATATACTCTCTAAGAGAAAGGAACTTTCTGTGTCTTGCTTATTGTCATATACCCAGACCAGAAGAGCTGTTCAATAATTATAATTGTAGGACAGAGAGTAGCAGGTGTCAGGAAGGAGAGACAGACTAGGGCTTGAAGACTGAACAAATGCTCCAAGCTGGAAGAGTCAAAGAAGGGGCTGAGCAAGATGTGACCCTAAAGCACAGTGGGAATGCACAGAATCAGAGTACAACGCATTTCAGGTAAAGAAAAAGGCATTAACAGACATTTGGTTGCTAAATGATTACATTGTATTTTACTACAATTTACACTTGCTAGTGTCACACACTAAGAATGCCAAGATATGTAACTCCATACTCGCAGACTACTGAATAACCAGCAATGAGCACCAAGAAGGTACACAGGGCTGGGAAGTGGCTCAGTGGTGCAGCATTTGCCTATTATACACAAGGCCCTGGATTCAAAACTTGGCATTGAAAGAACAAAAAAGAAAACACATAAATGATAAAAGGAATAAAGTTGGCAAAGTAGATTGCATCTAGCTTATAGAGTACCTTGGGCACTATCTAATCAAAGGAATATGCATTCCAGCCCAATGGTCACTGAAGGTTTTTATAAAGTGGAATGACATGATCTAAGATTAGCTTTGGAAATTTTACCTGGTAAACCCAGAGAGAAAGGACAGGCTAGAGAGAGAGGCATATGACACAACTTTTCATATTCTCTCTCCCCTCTACTCCCCTCTCCTGTATCGTTTTTCTAATTTATTTATAGGAGAGTCAAATAGCTGTGATTCCCCGGAATGCAGGCCCTAGGTCAGGAAACCTACAGTGTATAGCACTGAGTAGGACAAAAATTAACCAAGAAGTTTGGTTAAGTGTCCACAAATCATAGAAGCATTCATAGCAACTTTATAAGTGTACTGCTTTATCATTATTATTATTATCATTATTTTGGTTTTTCAAGATAAGGTTTCTCTGTAGCTTTGGAGCCTGTCCTGGAACTCTTTGTAAACCATGCTGGCCTTGAACTCACAGAGATCCACTTGCCTCTGCCTCCTGAGTGCTGGAATTTAAGGCATGCACCACATTTTTTGTTTTATAATTTTTAAAAGGACAATAAAACCAGCATTACTGCCAATTACATAAATATTGAAGTACAATCTAATCACTTTGATACAGTATTTAATTTTTAAAAAAATTACTGGTAATTAATGCTGACATGTCTAACTCCTCAAATGTGCTGAGGACTAAGTGGTTGTTGAATATGCAGCCCTATATAGAGATATCTATATCATCCCCTCTAAATCTTAAAGAATACCCCATGAGAGGGGGCAGAAAAACTGTTAAGACTCAGAGGATGTGGAAAAGTTTTGTACAATGATGTGTCCTATTCAATATCTGGTCACTGCACTCATGAAGTCACAGCAGCTATGGTTACCTGCATAAGACTACTGGGCCCTTAAACATTCCATCAGGGATAGAGGAGGGGCTTGGGAGGCCCCACCTCTCCCCTATCAGCCATGTGGGGAAGGAGTCATTTTCTTCAGTAGTGTGGCCACTATTTCAGTAAATAATCCCCTACCCATGCTCAAGCAAGCAACCTTAATTAAACGTCGTGGGTCACAAAAAATGACATAAAAGTATTAAGGGTCCTAGTTGTAAAGAAGGGAAGAAGTGGTTCAGTGGGACTTAAAGGGGACCAAAAGGAGGGTAATGGGGTACATATGCTAAAATGCCTTATATGCATGCTTAAAATTATCAAAGAATAAATTTTCAATTTCTGGACAATTACTATACATTGCAAGCTTCATACTTTTCTCAAATCTGAAAGTTGATTTTTACCACGAGGTAAAAATGCTTTAGAATTCTATAGCAGAAAAATAATGCATCTGAATAAGTCCACTGATTACCACAGTAAATCAATGCTTATGTTGTCTACAGTGGAATGCTGGGCATACTCTAAGTTATTCGGTCTCTGCACTGACTATTCTCTGAATTCTGTTCATAAGAGGAGCTCTTTTAACTGCACCCAAATGACTATTAACAATTGAGGTCTAGGTATGTAACTCAGGTGTAAAGCACTTGCCTAGAACATGAAAGGATATGAGTTTGGTCCCCAGTACCACACAAAGAAAAGAATTGAAGTGTGTCTTTCATCCCCCAAAGGTATGATGAAGGCGTAACCTCCAGATCTATAGGTGGGAATAATTTGAAAATGGGGACATTACAGGCATAATTAGATAAAATGAAAACCAGGAATAGCAACTCATGCATGTAACCCTAGCATTTGCTAGGCTGAGGCAGGAGGATTGCTATGAGTTCCAGGACAACCTGTGCTACAGAGTGAGGCTGTGTCTCAAAACAATAAATAAATAAGTAAGTAAATAAATAAAGCCAGGCATGAGACACATGCCTATGAGAGGTGGAGGCAGGAGGATCAGGAATTTGAAGCTAGTGTAGACTACAGGACATAAACTTGTCTCAGAAAACTAAAACCCCAGAACAACAGTAAAGCCTCCCACTGCTTCTGTAAGGTTGCCTCATCAGTTGTGCTGATGACAAAGCCACCACCAACTAGTCCTCCATCGGATACTCACTCACGCACTCTTGAGGACCAATTCAAGGCCAGCCTGGGTTATATGAAACCCAATCTCAAAAACAGAACAAAAACAATGAGTTCAGATTGGAGCAGAGTGGGCCTTCAATCCAATATGATTAAGATATTAGAGAAAAGACATGGAAATATAGACAGACAAAAACCACACAGTGTGTACTGGCTGGTTTTGCATGTCAATTTGACACAAGCTAGAGTCATCAGAGAGAAGCCTCTGTTGAGAAAATGCCTCCATGAGATCCAGTTGTAAGGCATTTCCTCAATTAGTGATCAATAGGGTGGGGCCTTGCCCACTGTGGATGATGCCATCCCTGGACTGGAGGTCCTGGGTGCTATAAGAAAGCAGGCTGAGAAAGCCGGGGAAACAAACCAAGAAGTAGCATTCTTCCATGGCCTCTGTATCAGCTCCTGCCTCCAGGTTCCAGCCCTGTTTGAGTTCCTGTCCTGACTGCTTTCATTGATGAACAGCAATATAGATTTGTAAGCCAGATATACCCTTTCCTCCATGACTTACTTTTTGGTCGTGGTGTTGCACTGCAGTAACTAAGATACAATGACAAAAGCAGAAACGCCTCCTGCTACGAAGAAGAGGTAAGCAAAGATAATCTCCTGCAGGTTTAAGACAAAATATGACCCTGCTGACAGCTTGATTTGGGAATCAAAGCCTCCAAATTCAAACAATAAATTGCTGATATTTTTAAGCCACCAGTTTGTGGGACTTTATGGTACAGCAGCCCCCCAAAAGTAATACAGTAGTCAGTCCAATTCACATCTAGTTCAACTCAGACTTTTGTGAAACCCTCCAGGGCAAAATCAGAAACAAGTACCTTAATGTACAGCTGTATATGCTTACAAAATAATATATATTAAATGCAAGTAGCAAAAGGAAGATACTATCCCTCCTTTGAACTGTTAATTATTTTTGAAGCTAAGGGTTGCATACTTATCCATGAACATACACAGCTTTTCTTCAAGTGAGTTAGCTGATTATATTTCAACAGTGAGGGCTCTTCATGCACATACATACCTGGAACATTTTCATCTTCACTTCCATGGATGTCTTTCCAACCCAGCTAACATGGCCAGTGAACTTAATGTCCTGTTCAGGACTTAAGCTCTGTTTACACATATCTGCAAAATAGAAAGTTAAGAGCCACCCAAACTATATAAGAAAAGTCAGTACTATAAGTGAACAATAACATCTGAAAAGCTGACAAGTTGTATTATATTTATCTTCAAAACTACAATAATTTTTGACATACAAAATAAATCTAAAAATCTGAGACCATACAAGGACTATAAAAACCGTAATTAAACTCTTCCACTTAATTATATAAATATCATGTTATATTCTAGATAGTTTCATATATACATTAAAATCCCCTTTAAAAGAAACCATTTCCCCCCAATCCCAATAATACTTCATAATTACTGAAAATTATAAGTATGCATAGAAGCTGATCTTGCTTACCAATCTTGTCCACTAGGGCTGTCACTATTGATAAAGGAGACATCATAGCGGAATGATTTCTGTTGTGCATGTAGCAAACAAGAACTGTAGGAAAACCAGACGAGTATAATAGAAAAGCAAAATTATTTCTTCCATTTACAATTCTCTCCCTTAAATTCACAAAAGGTCTTATTTTCAATAAAATCCAGTACTACTCAAGTAATGATCTTACTCTAGAACTAAAGACTCTTTTCTTTTAGTTTACTGAGACAAGGTCTCACTCTGTTGCCCAGGCTGATTGGGAACTCACTATACATCCCAGGCTGGTCCCAAACATGTGGTGATTATTCTACCTTATTCTCCTACATACAAGAACTGCAGATGTGAACCTCCAGGCTTAGAAAGACATTTTTCCCTCTTTTTATGTGTGTGTGTTTGCATATATGTATTAGTGTTGCATTTGTGCAGGAACCTGTAGAGGTCTGTCCTAGTTGGTGTTACTATTGCTGTGATAAAACACCATGGCTAAAAGTAACTTTGGGAGGAAAGGGCATATTTGCCTAATGCTTCCAATTACTGTTAATCACTGAAGGAAGTCAGGACAAGAATTCAAACAGAGCAGGAACCTGAAGGCAGGAGCTGATGCAAAGGCCACAGAGGAGTGCTACTTACTGGCTTGTTCTTCATGGCTTGCTCAGAGTGCTTTTCTAAAGAACTCAAGACAACCAGCCCAGGAGTGGCACCACCCACAATAAACTGGGCCCTCCCTCACCAATCACTAACTACAACCTCCCCATAGGCTTGCTTACAGCAATATCTTATGGAAGCATTTTCTCAATTGAGGCTCCCTCCTCTCTGATGAATCTAGTTTGTGTCAGAGTGACATAAAACTAGCCAGCACAAGGTCCAAATAGAGCACTGGATTCCCTGGAACTAGAGTTACATAGAGAGAGTGTGACCTGCCATGTAGCTGTTGGAAATGAAACCTGGCTTCTCTGTAAGAGCAGCTAGTGCTCTTAACTACGGAGCCATCTCTCCAGCCCCTGCTTCAAGTCTTTTAGGTGCTAGGGATTACAAACCACTCTACTATATCTGGCAGCAAAGACTTATAAACTGAATCAATCTGGAGATCCTTTAATCGGACTATTCCCTCACTTACAAAATTCCAAAGCTCAGAGCTGCCAAGTAGCTTGTCACCACCCTGAGGAAACAGTGCTAAATGAGAGCAAGACCTAGGACAAGCTGACAGTATCAAGCAAACATCCCCAGAAGAGAGGAACTAAGCACAAGGCCTCAGCTACATGCTTTCCTCCTGATTCTTCCGCAGTCACGAAGCTGTTTTCCTTAGTTATCCCTCTTTCCCAACCACACTCCTGACTCCCACACTGCCCTAGAATCCTGTGTACACCTTCTGTATCTTAACATACATTATATATTTCCCAAGTATGGATCCATGTGCCTTATGAATATGAAGTCATTTAAATTTGTACTGCAGTTACACATTGGTTGATGTCCCTGCTTTCCCACCAAGATGTACTCAAATGTGTCCCATTCATCCTCAGGTCAAAGTCTGCTGAATAAATACTTGCTGAATGACAGTTAATTCTTCCATCCACACATCTTTTAAAGGATACACTGGGGCATGCAATGTTACAGGCAAGAAACCCCACTTAAAAGCCTGTCCGGTTCCCAGAAATCTTGCATGTGACCTGTGTCATAGGAGTAGAATAGGAAATAAAAAAAAAAATTTCAAGAAATAAGAAAAAAGTAGATCTGACAAGACTTGACTAAATGCAAGTTTCTAGCTTAGATGAGTGTTCCATTAGATGGAACACAATGGGCCAATTGTATTGAAATGTTGTTTGCTTGTTTATTCAGAGCTAGGAATTGACTCCCACCATGCTTAGCTAGCACTCTGCCACTGAGCTATACCTCCCAGCTGAAGATTTTGAATTTGAGAAGTCTAAAAAGTACATTAAAGGGAAGATATCCAGTAGACAGGAAGACAACCTGGAACTCAGAGGAGCCCAAGAAATGTAGTTTTACAGGTATTTACCATATTCATAGCAACTGAAGGGCTGAAAATAGATGAGATTATTTATACAGAATGTACAAAGGTAGCCTTCAAAAATACAGAAGATAAACACTCTGGAACAGTCAACATTTAATGGATCAACAGAGAAAGAGGAACCTATGAAGGGGACTGGAAAAGAGATGCCAAAGAGTCAAGAAGAAACAGAGACCAAGAATGAGGGGAACAATATCACAAATCACAAGAGAGATCAGGGAAGCTGAGGGAAGAACTTAGTAGACTGTGCAGTGAAGGAGACAAGGGTGAGTGTGGCAAAAACACTGGCAAAGGCGCAGAAGAGGTGAAACCAGGCTATAGCAGCCAGGCAAGTAATCAATAGTTCACGGTAAGGAACAGCGAAACAAATGGACTTTTCTAATTCTTTCCAGAAATCAGCAATGAAGGGAAGGGGAAAATTGAGAGTGTTTATAAGGGAAGGGGGTTTATCTGCTTTTCATTTTGAGATGGAGAATCTTGGTGTTTATAAAATGTGGGGAAAGTAAAGTTGGGAAATGGCTTGGGATACAAAGAAAATGGCTTAAATGGTATGGCAAGTTCCCTAAAGAAGGAATTAAAAATATTAAGAGAATAGGTGGAAGGGATTGGCCATCAACAAGAGGTCACGAGAGAGAATACAAGGGTAGGGTCAACAAGAGAGCTCAGCCACTAAAGGTACTTGCTGCTAAGCCGAACAACCTCAGGTCAATCCCCAAAATCTGCATGGTAGAAAGGTAGAAACAACTCCCATAAGCTGTCCTATTCACGCACACACAAATAAATTTAAAAATTTAAAAAAGAAAACTAAGGGCAATGGCAAAGGTGTTTGTGTATATAAGGACAGCTAAGAAAACCAAAGTAAGATATGCAAATATAAATGTGTATAATTTTTAAAGACCACTAAGAATTTCTAACTAATGTAGAGAAGAAGGGCAGCTATATGTAAGTGGGCTTCTGTTTGTAAGCGACTTGAGAGTCTTTAAGTCCCTTCCCAACAGTTCAATCTAAAAGACATTAGGAGGGAGTGAGAAGGGCAACATGGAGGAATGAGTGGAATGAGCAGGGTATTCTTGTCGAGGGGAGGTGACAAAAGTATGGTAAGTGTGTTGCAGACCTAAAACAATGAAGAGGGACCTATTTTTTAGGGTGCCAGAGTACAAGGGATGTGACAATGAGGATTTGGGTAGTGGCCCTGGTAAATGGGTTACAGGCAGGAAGCTGGTCACATTAGTAAATATATTAAAGACAATGGGGCTAACTGGAAAAGGGAATTATAAATATTGAAATGCAAACCATAGACTGCTAAACAAAAGTTGAAGGTACCAGTTTAAAAGCATAGTCTTCATATACATAGATCAATAAGTAAACAAATGTAAATGGATACATGGACATACATATCCAGGATCGTGACAACCAGTAGCCACAACTACTCCCAGCATATAGACTTTGGCTTCTAAATGCCATTCTCCAGTAAAAAGAACTACAATCCCTCCGAGACTTGGCTAACTGGCTGCCTGGGCCAGAGAAAGGCTAAGATGAATCTAGAATATCTTACTGGTCAGAAAGTTAAAAGTGCTCATAGAATGATGGAGGACACATTTTTTAAATCCAGGGAGCCATGGAGATGGCTCAGTTTTATAAAGCGAGGCCAGCCTGGGCTACATAGCAAGTTCTAGGCCATCCTATACAGCAAGATGATGTTTGAAAATTTAACAGTAACTAGTGGGACTAAGAATGTAGGTCAGTGGTGGAACACCTATCTGCCATGTTCAAGGCCCTCAGCTCAATTTCCAGTACTGAAACATTATGAAGAGGAAAAAGATAATAATAATAACTGAAAGTCTGGCAAGGAATGGGATACTTACAAGGTCTCAAAGTGTCCTTACAATGATGCTAATTTGCTACAAAGGGGAAAGGAGTAATTTTACAGAAAACATGTCAGATATCACATTCACTATGTGAAAGTTTACCTTATCAGAAACTGGAGAAATAAAAAGCTAAGTATCATTTGATGAGTCACAGTAAGAACAAAACATCCCTCCCATGGCGTTCCTGCGGAAGATACAAATCCTGACACTAATCATGAGAACACATCAGACAAGAAGAAAGAGAGGGCTTGTCTATAAGAATCTACAAGAAAAGCAGCCCGCACACTTCCAAAGGACTAAGCTTACAAAAACCAAGAAAAGGTTGGGTGTCTATTTCTAACACAACTACCAAATGCAATCCATGCATAGAAAGCGTGCCTTTCTTTAATAAATGACCACTAGTGAATACTGACTAGCTCTGAGGATTAAAAAGTATTAAGTTTCTGATCACGATAGTAGCAATTTGGTTATATAAGAGATGTCCTACTTCATAGGAAATGTACCCTAAAATATATGGTGGTCTGCAATTTAATTTCCAACACATGATACATGGAAAATGCTTCTTTACATGGTATCTGTAACTTGTCTTTAAATACTTTTTAAATGCTGGGTGGTAGTGGTGTACAACTTTATTCCCAGTACTTGGGAGGCAGAAGCAGGTGGATCTCTGTGAGTTCCAGGACAGCTTGGTCTACAAAGTGAGTTCCTGGATAGCCAGGGCTTTTACACAGAGAAATCTTGTCTCTAAACACCCTTACCCCCAAAAAAACAAAAAAAAATTTCTCTTAAAAAGTTTTAGTGACCCATTGAGTTTAGTTGGGGTGCACACATGGGCATAAGTGAGGGATTATTTACAGGATCATAGCTCAATTTGCCTGTGACTACACCACTTAAGAAACCACTAACTGTCTATAGATCCTCAGGGAGGAGTGGGGCTTCATAAGCCCTTCATACCTAATAACAGTTAACTGAACATAGAGCTTCCGGGAGAGGTGGGGCCTCCTAAGTAGTTTACTCCCCTATGATGGATTGCCAAAGGGCCCAATCTCATACAGGTCTTGTACAGGCAATAACCTACTGAAAATTTAAGAGTGCAATGGCCATGCCATGCTTAGATAATAGTGTTCCCTGGCATTCCAGATAAAACTGCATCTAGAGTGCATGCTTAGCATGCTTGAGGCCCTGGGTTCAATCCCCTGCATTCAAACTAAAATTTAAAACTAAAAAATCATAAAGAAGGCTCATTTGGATGGTAACTCTGTCATATGGAAATCCATATTCATAAGAAAAACAGTATGACAATGAAAAACCTTTTCTGTCTGCGAATAAAATGGCTCTTTCTAACTGGGATTCGCTGTCTACCTGTAACTGTTCTTAGGAAGACAAATACCAGTACCTCCTAAGCTGTCAAGGTCCTCAAGAATCCGGCCGAATCTGCTGAAATAAAGCCAAAATGTAAATTAAATGAAAATCACAATGACTTCCCTTTAAATTTTCATAATGTCCTTTGGGATAAAGAAAGAGCCCTAAGATTGACTGTAGTGATACTTAACACAAGTCTTTCACTGTACTGAACCTACAGTCATACACACACTTCAAATAAATGGACTGTAAGGATTATGAATTAGATCTCACAGTTGTTATTTTAAAAGGAAAAAATGGTAACATTTTTGACAATAATGAAAATAATACAGCGTTACCTTACTGTGTTTTGAACAGTCAGATATTTATCTCGCAGCTCAGGATCAGTACCCAAAGGTAGGAGAACTTCGATGAAACTGTCCTTCATTTTCCTCGGTGGTAGAGCTTTCTGTGATTTAGCCAACAGGTTATGAAGTAACTTCCTCTCCTCCATTGCTTTCACATGGTCTCTGAGAAGAAAAGGTAGGCTTCACAAAACAAGAACAGTACTGTCCCACAATTCCAGTATCCATTCCCTCAAACAGGTCAGTCAGACAAAATAAATGGAAGAAAGGAGGGATCAAGGCCTACTTGATCTTCAATTCGTTCTTTCCCTTCCCACGAAGCATTTGGTAAAACAACATTTCTGATGACATTTTTATGCTTGTGGATATAAGTCTCATGCTCTCCCAAACAAATTAGCTGTCATTAGGTATATACATAAGAAATGCATACTTAGTGATATAGACACACCTAAATGAACCACATATTCATCTGATCAAAAAAAGTTTATTCAGGAGCTGGAGATACGATTCAGTGGTTCAGAACACTGGCTGCTTGGGTAAGGACTCAGATTCAGTTCCCAGTATGCACAGCCATCTGTAACTCCAGTTCCGGAGGATGTGATGTCAACTTCTGGCCTCCTCAGGTACTACACACACGATGTACATACATAAATGCTGGCAAATCAGCCTTACACATGAAAATAAATAAATCTTTTAAAAGGTTTATTCATACTAGCACCACAGCTTAGTGGTAGAACACTTGCCTAGCAAAGTCCTGAGTTCAATACTAAGCATGAGAGCAGAGAAAGGCAAGAGACTGGGTGCTGACACTCATATTCTACGTCCTGTCATGTTCATCTTCACTCTCCTCTTCCTCACTCACCTGACTCTCTCCCTCCCCTCCCATCCCTTCAATCTCAGAAGAGAGACAAACGAGATAAGTGAATGATATCCAAAGGAGGTATGCAAAGTGGAATAAAGGGTTACAAAGGAAGAAAACATTTTTAAAAGGCAGAGAAAAAAGAAGAGTAAAGCAGAAGACAACAGAGAAAGCAATAGGAAACAAAAATGTTATGTAAACAACAGCAGCAACATGTAAGAAGTCCTTCCAAATTTAAATGATAAACTATTATTAGTTTAGTTCACAAAAAAATATTAAAGTCAGAGAAACAAGTTAAATGGTACCAGAAAAATGGAGAATGTGCAATACTTTCAAATCAAACAGGCTAGCCCTGTAAAAGTCAAATTCATGGGGAAAAACAGGTGTAAGCTGTCAATTTACTCTGGATGGGGAAAACTCAAAAATCATAAGATATCAGATGTAACTTTTAAAACATTTTTGAATCTTAACGTTGTTTTAAAAATTTTAATCCTAGTCTGGTTACCTCTTCTTGCACCCCAAGAAATCTCTAGACTTCTAGCCAGACATGCCCCTCCCTGAATCCACACATGGGTCCCTTTGCCCCACCTTCACCACTCTACTCCATACCCAGGTGTCAGAAGTTCTCCTCCAGACTCTAGCCTAGTATGTAACCCCAACAACCTGACGTTTGTTCTTCTGTAACCTCCTGGATCATGCCTAGGTCTCAGAGGCAATGCCCTGGCCTAGTCTGACCACTCAATTCTGCATGACAACCGACCTCTAGACTTCCACCAGGAAGCATCATATCCACAAGCTCCTTCTGGGGACTGGCTTGGTGACCTCATCTAAGCCTTTTCCCAACCTCCCAGATTGAGCCTGGATCCCACAGATGGTACACCACCATAGTCTGGCCTTCTATGGCTTCTCAGCAAGGGTGTCCTCGGCTTGGGCCAAGATCCGTGCTACCTATAGCCCAAACCACAGAACTCTCCCAAGCCTTTGAATAAGGGAGTCAAGTTACATGAAACAGTAAAACGAGAAGACTTGAGTTCAAGTCGCACGTCTTAACTGTGAGTTTCAGTTTCACTGTGTTAAAAAATGGAATAGAAAAATATACCATAAGAACATTACAAGTTTTCTTCTGAGAATCAGTGAATATACCTAAACAGTTTTGAAAATGCGCAATATAAAAAAAGAAAAAAAAGAAAATATGCAATATAGATAAATCCCGCTTTTCATGGTGATGATGCATCAACTGATTAAAACATTAAGAAGTTGTTGTTTTTGTCCCAATGGGAAAGCCCCACCTCCACATAGGTCTCCCCATCCATAGAAGAGGTCCAGCAACTGAGCCTAAATATTACTTAGCATGATGCCTGGGGGATAAAACAACCAAAGTGCTTACCTCCAGTTTGTGGATATTCCTACTATCTCCCGTAACTTATCCCGAACTGAAACAAAAATAAAGCCATTACCCCATGAAACAAGGCAATAGGAAAAATGGGTTAGGGCAAAATGCTCAGGAACTAAGCAAAGCTGCTCATGCACTCAAAAGGTATCAAGATTCCTGAATTCCCATTCAATGCTATAACAGCTCAGGGGAGGGATCAGGCTTCTGATCTCTGAAAATGGGAAACAACTATACCGTCTCCTTAGTGCAAATAAACATACTTTTTTGTCAATTACTGAGGTTCATTTACATAAATCATAAAATTTTCATCCAAAAGGGCTGATAAAGCCTTTTGATAAAAAAAGATGAGTCCCTTTAAGATGGAAATCTTTTGTACATGTATACACACATGTATAAGCCAGAGAACACACTATTCAGGTGTGAGCCACTTTGTTTTTTGAGACAGGATTTATCAGGACCTGGAGCTTGCTAGGCTAGGCTAGGCTACCCAGCCTGTGAGCCGCAAATACCCATATCATTTCATATCCTCGGTGTTGGGACTACAGATCAGTCTCAGGTTCACATGCCTGCAGGCAAATACTTTACCAATTGAGCTACCTTCCCAGTCTGGGAACAAAAAAGATATTTAGAAACAGAATCTCCACCTATCTTCTTATAGGCAGTATTAGAGAAAATAACTTAGTTCAACAACTAATACTAATATCTAAAACTGAGTTTTATTGCAATTGATTACTTACATATCTATACCATCCTAATTAAAGCAGCTTAAGCCAAAAAAAAGCAAAGACTTAAATCAAGGTAAAGCAAAGAGTGTGATTTAATTTTACTTAGTGCCCATTATGCAAGAGTGAATTAGCTTAAAACAAAACATAAGTGCTGAGGGGAAAAATCAATACTAATTACCACACACCATGATTCACATGGATAGCTGAACATGCTATATGGAAAGGGGAAAATAATTAGATTATCAGTATTAATTTGAAATTAGAAAATAAACATACAATATTTCAAATAATCTGTTTTTTCTACCATTTCAAAATATATATTCCGGTAATGATCAAAACCAAATTATGGTAAGAATAACATGTAGTCTCCTGAAAGTGGTGGATTTCCTATCATACTGTTATATATATGTCACATACTCAGTGAACACATTAATTATGGTGAAACCATAAAGAACTGTAAAACATCACCATTAGTAAATTATTCTTATTTCTGAATTTCCTCCCCCCAAAAATAATGTATACAAAATAGCCCAAACAGTACAGATTCCTGATGCTCACTGACATAAAATAGTTCTCACTAGTTTGGTCACTGTAAAGATCGGTAGATGCTGAAAACCAAGAAATTTCAATTTTACACATATTCATATTTTCTCTCTCTTTCACTCAGACCCCTTAAAGAGGTGACAATTTTAATTTTTATGAGTATTTCTGGTTCCTAAGACATACCATAGTCTGCATATAATATTAGTAAGTGCAATTAAGAATACATTAACAATGTCCCTCTAACAAAACTATAGATAAGCATTTAAGGTTGACACAAATGGCAGGCTCATGTCTTCTTCATGACTATATCTCTGTTCTAGTCTTCTGTAGCTCTACACAGGAAGTGGATAGAAGAAACTGCTCAGTCCCCAAGGCTCCTAGGAACACATCAAATTCTGACTCCGATTTCTACATCAAGCTATTATGCAACTACCTTCATTATTTTATACGTGGGATACTTATGAAACGCTGAAACTTAACATGTATCCAGGATAGAGAGGTGATGCAGTGGTTAAAATCATGTACTTCTTGGCCATTCTTACAGGTCTAAGATGGAATCTCAGAGTTGTTTTGATTTGTGTATCTCTGATGGCTAAGGATGTTGAGCATTTCCTTAAGGCCAAAATCAAAAACACTGATGACAACTTATGTTGGAGAGGTTGTGGGGAAAAGGGAACACTCCTGCATTGCTGGTGGGAGTGCAAACTGGTACAGCCCTTTTGGATGTCAGTGTGGTGATTTCTCAGAAAATTAGGAAACAATCTTCCTCAAGACCCAGTAATACCACTTTTGGATATATATCCAAAGGATGCTTAATCGTGCCACAAGGACATGTGCTCAACTATGTTCATAGTAGCATTGTTTGTCATAGCCAGAACCTGGAAACAACCTAAATGCCCCTTGACCAAAAAATGGATAAGGAAAATGTGGTACACAATGGAGTACTACACAGCAGAAAAAAATAAGGAAATATTGAATTTTGTGGGCAAATGGATGGATCTAGAAAACATATTGAATGAGGTAACCCAGACCCAGAAAGGCAATTATCACATGTACTCATTCATAAGTGGTTTTTAAACATAAAGCAAAGAAAACCAGCCACAAATCACAACCCCAGAGAACTTAGACAATAATGAGGATACTAAGAGAGACTTACATCGATCTAATCTACATGGTAAGTAGAAAAAGATGATCTCCTGAGTAAATTGGAAGCATAGGGAGCATGGGAGAGGGTTTAAGGGGAGGGGAGAGAAAGGGAGGGGAGCAGAGAAAAATGTAGAGCTCAATAAAAGCAATAAAAAATAAGATAAAACTTAGAAAAAAAAAGAGCATTTACTTCTTCTCTGGCATACCTGAACTCAGTTCTCAGCACCTGTATCAGGTGGCTTAGAACCAGATGTAACTCCAAAGAAAACCGACACTTCTGTATGCACAAGTGTTCTTGTACAAATGTCCTCCCCCCCCCACATATATGTGTAATTATTTAACATGCACGGTTCATTACTGCTGCTATCATTCTGTGCACCACCTCCCAAGGAAAATGGGTTTTTTTCATCATATAGGCACAAAAGGGAAAAACAATCATGCTTGCCTTCACTGATGTGTAAGGGTCCATGATTTTTGGTGTACTGGGATCTTTGACTCAGTCCTCTGCCATGAGTAAGAAGCCCCCTGTTCAAGGTACAAAGCCTGGAAAACAAGAGAAAGCATTCTTAAAATAGTTTCTAGAGCTGCTTCTCTAGGAATCTGTAAGATGTCACCTCTTCCAGAGTATCTAACCACACACTGTCTTTAGTAAATGCTTTGTTCTTTACTCGCACACCACATTTCCTCAATAAGTAACATCAACTCAATTACAAACTAATCATCTTTGAACTTTGAGTCATCACTTTGCACTCAAAGTACTTACAAAACTTGTTGAAAAAAATCCTAGGACCCTAAAGAAAGAAAATAAAAGCTACGTATCCAAAGGAACCGTACCAATTCTCTCAAAAATGAGCTGGGTAAGCTGATGGGTAGCTCACTTTTGCAAATATTGACAACCATATACTACCGTATCAGTAATAACATATAGCAGCCTGGTATGGTGGCAGATCCAGGTGAGTTCAAGGCCAGCCTGTTCTATACAGTGAGTTCCAAGACAGTGAGGGCTAAATAGTAAGACCCCACCCACACATACATACTGTGAAAGCTGAAACATTACTGAAGGAATCAAGAATTCTAAACACCGTCATCTAGTTCAAGTTACTGGAAAATTCCTATACTACATAATGTTATGATAATGACTAGCCAAAAAATTTACATGTTTACCTTTTCTTAGAGCAAGCTACTGAGTTACAGCATTCAATGAAAGTCACTCAGTAAATCTGCTTTATAAAAATCTGCTTACATGAAGTTTTGACAATTAATGTGCTGCTAGAATAAATCTTTGACCTTTCACCAAGCCAACTAATTCAGCTGCAAAACAAGATATGAATATGGATACTTCCTCACAGGAGATTTTTAACCCCTTTGCCACCTGGTCATCTTATTTAGCTATGACACAATCCCTATTGGCTCACTAAAACAGAAGCGCCCACTGGAGGCCTTCAGTCTTTATGCCCTCTTTAGTCCTCATCTGTATGGCTGTCAGTCACTTGGCATTTTGTTTCACAGAGTAACCTTTCCCTTTTCTGTACTTTTTTACACAGATTAATATTCTAGTCTTCTTGATCTTAACCTTAAAATTTGAATTTTCTTACAATGTGATTTAGATTTTCTATTTTTCATCATTGTATACACTTTTATATAAGTTCAAATCTATTAGCCATGGAAGTAGGTTATGTATTCCTGTATTCTGTCATCTCATAAACTAGGATTCTGCAATAGAACATACCTAGTTTTAAAGAGCATACAGGGGATGGAGGGTGACAAAAATCACAACTTTAGTTCAGTCCTCGGGGCTCACAGAAAGGTAAACAGAAAGAACTGACTCCACAAAACTGTCCTATGACCTCCACCTGCACACCATGGCACACACATGTACATCATGCAGATATACACACATACACACAATAATATTTTTTAAATAGAAAACACTGGCGAGATTAGGAAGGTAGCTCCGTGGGTAAAGTATAACTTTGTTCAGCTATCAGCAACCACATAGTCAGGTGTGGGTGCAGGTAGTGAAAAGAGCGGCAGGCTGCGGCTGCGGCCTGGCTCCCGGCTAGCTTTACCCGAAATAACAACACACAAACTGTATTCATTTAAACACTGCCTGGCCTGTTATCTGCAGCCTCTTATTGGCTAACTCTCACATCTTGATTAACCCATTTCTAATAATCTGTGTGGCACCATGAGGTGGTGGCTTACCGGGAAGGATTCTAGCCTACATCCGTCTGGGGTCGGAGAATCATGGTGACTGCTTCACTGCCTTCTTTCCAGCATTCTGTTCTGTCTACTCCACCTACCTAATTTTCTGTCCTATCAAAGGGCCAAGGCAGTTTCTTTATTAAGCAATGAAAGTAACACATAGACAGATGAACTTCCTCCATCATGCATGGGTGCCTATAACCCCAGAGACAGGAAAGCCACCAGAGTTTGCTGGCCTAAATGATCAACTCTAGTCTCAGTGAGAGCTCCTGTCTCATGGGAATAAGGCCAGTTTTAGAGCAGGATACTCAATGGCCTCATCTTGATGCTGCATGCAAACCAACACACTTGTAAACATACATGTGCATACACCTCAACTCACATGCACAGACAAACATGAAAAACCCACTACAAATAGGAAAACTAATCATTCCCATTGCTACCATTCGCCAAAAGACAAAATGGCCCTGAATTCAAACCCCAGGGGTAACTGAATTCAGAAAAACACCTGGGTCAACATATTTTTAAAGTGAGTCTCATGTCCTAAATTTGTTTGCAGCTTAAAAGATGGGATATATATTTTAAGGAAATCTAAAAAAAAAACTGTATGAATTGAGCATATAGCTGAGTTGGCTGAGTGACTGCCTATCATGCTTGAAGCCCTGGGTTCACTTTCCAGCATATATAAAATTAAGGGTGGTGGCACATGCCTACAATCACAACATTCAAGAGGTAAAGGTGTGTGTGTGTGTGTGTGGGTGGGTGTGGGTGTGGGTATGTGGATATGTGGACATGAGTGTTGCTGTATGTGGGTGCCGGTGGTGTCCAGCCAAAGGGAATGACTCTTCTGAGTTGGAGTTACAGGTATTTGTGAACTATCTGACGTGGGTGCTGGGATTTAAACTTAGGTCCTCTGGAAGAGTCCCCAAGTGCTCTTAACTACACAGCTATCTCTCTAGTCCCTGAACTGTATATCTTAAAACTTGAAAAAAAAACAGGCAGTGGGGGTGCACACCTTTAATCCCAGCACTTGAAAGACAGAAGCAGATGGATCTTTGGGAGTTCAAGGCCAGCCTGGTCTACAAAGCAAGTTCCAGGACAGTTAAGACTGTTACACAGAGAAACCCTGCTCAGAAAAAAATTTAAAAAAAACATGAAAAAAGACTCATATGACATTGATATGAAAAAAAGAATAGCTTTTAAACAGCTGTACCATATATTTGTGCTTTGAGCTGACTCACATGGACCAAATTCTAGTCCTGTAAGCTCCATTAACAGCAGGGGAGTGCACCCTTTTTATTTTCTACGCCACATTAATACTCTATCTTTTCCGTTTTAGACATAGAAATAACTTACCACTGTGTTACAATTGTCCACACCATTCAATACAGTACTGCTCTATAGATTTACAATCTGGGTGCTGTAAATTGTAGCATTCGGTCTGGCCTGGGTCATCTGGGTTTGTGTTAAGTATACTCTGTGATGTTGTACGACAAAACACACTTAACAGTGCTGTGCTTAGAGGATAGCCCCACTGGTAGGTGATGAAGCAGTTAAGCAAAAGAGCAGGAGAATTGCTTAATAATAGCCAGTCTCTCAGTCCCTCAAGATTGCTTTACTCTCCTCCTCATCTCTGATAAAACCACAAGAGCGCCACAACATGACCCCCTAGCTTTTCAAGGAAACTATCATGGATCCTTTAGGATACTCAGGTCACAGGACCCCAGGACTGAACCTTTCTAATGAAAGAGGCCTGAGAATTTCAACCTCTCCATGGCTTGCCTAGGGAGCTAGAATCACCTGCAGTTCTGAAAAGAAATGGCTTAGCTCCATCTTAGGTTTCAAATACGGAAAAAAAAATGGCAAAAAAAGAATTGTCAGTGTATTATCATATCTGTATTATCATATCATAGACAAGCCTGGGGGTGTCAGCTCAGAGGTAGAGGACTTGCTTAGCATGACTGAAGGCCTGTGCTGCTATCCAGTACCTCAGCTACAATAGCCCAGACAAGGTTATTCATATGTCCATTACCATGATAAAATACCTCAATATGGAGATTAAATCAAGTGGCATGATGCATGCATGCCTGGGAAAAAGCCCCACAAGCAAACAGTAAACCTGATCACCTCTGACAGTTTGTCCTTATGTAGGGATTACCTCTCGACTAGACACTGACAGAAGCCAAGGCTCACCAGGACTAACAAGAAAGGAAGACAATGACATAGAGTGCAAGGAAGAACTTATAAACTGGGTTAGAAGGGCTCAAGAAAGGAGTTGTCGGGACTGGAGAGACAGCTCAATAATTAACACTACCTCTTTTTTAAAAAAATTGAGATTTTATCTTTATGTGTATGGGTGTTCTGCCTGCATGTATGTCTGTGCACTACATGCATGCTGTGCCTGAAGAGGCCAAATGAGGGGGTCAGATCTCCTGCAACTAGAGTCCTTGAACCTGGGTCCTCTGGAAGAGTAGCCACTACCCTTAGTCACTGAACCAACTCTCTAGCCCATTAAAAAGTACTTCTTGCTTGTATAAGAGATTTGGGTTTGGTTAGCAGTACTCACGTGGTAGCTCACAACCATCTATAACCCCAGTTCCAGGGGATGTGATGCCCTCTTTTGGTCTCCACTGGCATCAGGCACGCTTATGGAACACATGCAAGCAAAACACTCATACACATGAAAATAAAATTTCACAACCCTTTGGAAAGGTCCTGTGGAAGAAGGCACAAGGGCAAGGCCAAAAAGCTTACAGAAGCCTTTCTTTCACATTATGTCCAAAGGTAATCATGCCCTTCTTGTAATGACTTTCAGCCTGTCTTCAAATAGTTTGACAAAGCTTAGGTGCTGGTGGGTGGGGAGATGACCCACTTTGTTCACCTGATAGCAAGGTTCCTGGGAACTGTAAAGGCAGATCAAGGGCCCCTAGAAAATTAGTCAAGGTCGAGTTCACCAACAGCAGGATGACTTCTGAAACCAGAGCAAGTGTCATTCTCTTGGAAACCAGGCAAGCAGAAAAAATTTGCATGTTGTGGAATAGGGACAGCCAGATATGCCCTTTAGTCTAGAGACTTCAGTCCTTAACTGTGCCAACTGGAAAGATTACATCTACCAAAAGGCATTCTCATTGCCCATGTGGTCCAACAGAGCCCTTTCATTACAAGACCCTTGCCGCTTATCAGAGTCACCTTCTAAATTGGGCATGATAATGAACATCTGTAAATCCCAGCACTAAAAAAGCTGAAAGCTGAAGGACTGCCATGGGTTCAAGGCCAGCTAATATTACTTGGGCTGTTTCTCTCAAACCAATGAATAAATATACAGACAAGAACTAGAAGTGCTGACACATGCCCTTAACCGCAGCACTGGAGGGGGATCTCTCGAATTTTAGGCCAGCCAGGATTACATAGTGGAACCCTGCCCCAAAAATAAAGAAACAAGTGGCTGGAGAGTAGGCTCAGTGGTTAAGAACACCTGTTGCAAAAAGTCCTGGGTTTGATTCCCAGCACCCACATGGAGGCTCACCACTTCAGGCACCAGACATGTATGTGGTTCAAAGACGTTCATGCAAGGAAAACACTCATAGACAGAAAATAATAAAAAGAAATCTAAAATAATTAAAAATAGATGAATCTGCTTATGCGAGCCGAACCTGAATGCTTTGCACACGTGATAACATACTTAAGTCAGATTCCAAGTGTGTCAAGCACATAACCTCCAGAACATTTTTCAAAGAGAAAAGGGCTGGCAAGGCAGAATTGAAAATACTGGCTTTCAGAAAAGGGGCTACCCCAAGGTTCCAGCCACACCCATGGTGAGCAAAGGGATAGGAATTTCAAGGGAACACCCTGAGTCTTCCCTTTTTAAAGTGCCAGAGTCACTAGGGCAGACTCGCATTCTTCCAAGCTAGGTCGCTGGGCCCGGGTACGGGCTGCTGGGTGCCTCTTTCTACATCCTTTGCTTCTGTCCCGCCCACTGCTTCTTCCGCCCGTGCCGGCAATCGAAGGCGTGGGCGCCCTAGGACAGCGCTCCTCCAAGCCCTTCCACGCCCTGCCACCTACCACATCGCTGCCCGCTTCATGGTACTCCACTGCCCCGCCAGGGGTGGACAACCAAATCTCTCACACTCCTGGGCGGAAGCAAAAACGTGACAGAAGAGCCTGAGTGTGAGCCGGAGTCCAAATACCAGCAACCGCCCGCCCAGGAACGACTCTTGCTTGGTGCCTACGCCACAAGAGGACCCGGGAGGGGTTGGACCTCACGGTCGGAAGGGCGGGGCTACGCTCCTCGGGGGCGGGACTACCACGTAGAGAACGTCAAGTCCTGATGTTTGATTGGTGGGCAGCTGGAGACGGGCTCAATGGAACTTCCCATTCAATCAGCTAGGTGGGGTCCTATACTAACTGACAGGACTTTTCCCTCAGTTGTAAAGGAACCGCTCCTCACAGCTCAGCACAGCAGAGGGACATAGTGGCTGGGAGCATCTCAGCCTGGTTGAACTCTTTAGTTCCCGATTCCTAGAGGTTTACTCCCAGTCCGTGCTTCTTGCCCTTAACATCATCTGAGCAGCTTTCGAAAATATGGGTACCATATTTGTTCTCCCAGCAATAGGAAGACTGAGGCCACCAATTAGAGGCCAGCCTTGGCTAAAGCCTTGGTCTAGGTCAGAAGAAATACTGTTGTTGTTTTTATTTGAAGTTTTGGTTTAAAAATTCTTAGTGATGAAAATTAAGTTGAAGAGAATTTTTCAAGGGAGGTCCATGCCTGTTATCCAGGAAACCCAAGAGAGTGAGGCTGGACGATCACAAATTCAAGATCTGCCTGATTACAGAGTAAGGTCCAGTACAGCCTTTGGAGCTCACTGAGATCCAATCTCAAAGTGAAAAGTAAAAAAATGGATTGAAGGATCTAAGTGGCAGAGTGCAGGTCTAGCATGCTGGAGTTCCCGAGTTCAATCCCCAGTATTAAAAAGGAGAAGAAAAAAAGAAAGAAAAAAATTTCAGATATTAGGCATTATGGCACATTCCTAAAAGAGTTGATTGTGAGAAGGTCTTATTTACTTAACAAGAATTCCCTCATCCAGACCCATGGCCAGGTGCTGAGTCACAATTTACTAATATAGATGTTTGCCTAAGTGACCATTCGTGAGCCTAGGAAACCTTTTTTTTTTTTTAAAGAAAAGAAGTCCTGCAAAATGAACCCCATAAACTCCACTGCAGATGATACTTAAAGAGGGAAAACTCTCAATACTTGGCTCACTTAATTCTCAAGTCAGGAAAGTCATGTTAAAGCCAGCCAACCTAGCATTCATATGTGTCTCTAGCTCAGGTTTTTAAATCAGGCTAGAAAAATGGCTCAGCAGTTATGAATACTTGCTGTTCTTTCAGGGGACCAGGGTTCCATGCCCAGCAGCCACATGCAGCTCAAAGTCATCCCAGGGGATCTGATGGCCTCTTCTGGCCTCTGCACATGCCAAGCCACACATATAGTACACATACATGAGTACATACACACAAGCAAAGACTCATACACATAAAAATAAATGTTTTTTTTAAATTCTTTTAATGTTTTAGCAACCCTGATGTCTCATTGTTGTTCTTGTGGCTGTTGTAAGGGGCAAAGTAGTCACAAAGCCAGACAAGAAACATGTAAGAACTGTATAATGATGAAAATCCCTGTCCTTACCTTACATCTGCCAACTCTCCTTTATTGTTACTTGTGTCCCACATGTAATGAAAATTTCAAAACACCTAACAATAGACTTACAGATATGTTAGCAATGTCTTTACTACAAGCAGAATACTAATTAACATAATCTGATCATGTTATAGTTCAGTCATGTACTATAACCAAAACGTTTTAATAATCATATTTCCTCGGGATGGTGAGCCATATAGATTCTGGGTATCTGGTTTAAATAAAGCATTTTCCTGGGAGACTATGTCATCAGCTTTCAAACTATATTATGATTTCACAGGCTAAAGAAACTGTTTTTAAAATTAGCTTATTTCCCATATTAATTATATAGCGAATCCAAAATTATCAACATAAACCAGACATAGGATAACATGCCTGAAATAGCAGCTACTTGGAGACTGAGGTGCAAGGATCACAAGTTCTGAGCTGGTCTGGGCTTTGTAATGGTTTCAAAGCCAGTCTCCACAAAATAGTGAGACTCTGTCTCAAAATAATCTAAAGGGCAGTCGTGTTGCTGAGATGTTAGCTCAGAGGTAGTATTGCCTAGCACGTATAAGGTCCTGTATTTGAACCCTAATGCCAAAGAGTGTGGAAAGGATCCAGAATAAATTAGGAGACTGTCTTAGTTACTTTTCTATTGCTCCTATTAAGAACTATGTGAATGACCCATCTCAGAAGTAGGTCTGAATGCCTTTATGAAATATATTATCCTCATAGTTTTATTTATTTATAGGAAGAGATTTTAAGATTTTCATTATGTGTGTGTATCTGGAGGTGTGTGTGTGGTGTGTGTGTGTGTGCACACACACACACCACACACACACACACACACACACACGAGAGGACAAATGGGTACTTGTGGAGTCCAGAAGTGGAGTTATAGGCGGTTGTGAGTCATTGTGAGCCAACAGATATGAATGTTAGGAACTGAACTTGGCTCCTTTGCCTGCCTTAGTTACTATTCTATTTTTGTAAAGAGACACCATGACCAAGGCAACACCATGACCCTGGAAGGAGCACAAAAGCACATTCCAAGGACAAACCTGAGCTTTGGAGAATTGAGGTCACAGGACTCTTGTCCTGTTTTCTTGGAGCTTTCTCACAAGCAATGAGAATTCTCCTCATGCAGCTTCATTCGTGGACTGTGTTCCAACAACCATCAAGGCAGAGAGCATGATAGTAAGCAGGCAGACATTGTGCTGGAGAAGTGGCTTAGAATTCTACATCCCGGGCTGCGGATTGCAGCAGCTGCAGGAGCACCGGCGCCGCTTGCGTGCCCATCTACTCGGCCGCCGGCACCTTCCAGTCGGGCGTCTCTGGCAGCCGCCGTTGCCGCCTGCTGCTGTTACTGCTGCTGCTGCTGCTCGGGGCCGCCGCGGCCGCTGCCTCGCAGACGCGCAGCCTGCAGCTCGGGCCTGCGCCCGCAGGAGACTGGCGGGTCCCGTGCCCGCTGACCCTCCGCCGCCGCGGCGGCCGCCGCCTCCCACTTGGTCCTGCGCGTTCCGCTGCTCCCGCTGTGGCTGGCTGTCGCCGAGGGGGCGCGGGGTTACAGCCAGGAGTCCAAAACTACCTACCTGGAAGGCCTCCCACCGCTACCTGAGTATGAACTGAGCCCACCAAAGTTAGGACAGGAGGTGGGTGATGTTTATCTCATTCGAGCTCAGGGACTGCCTTGGTCCTACACTGTGGAGGATGTTCTTAACTTTTTCTCAGACTGCAGAACCCGCAACAGTGAAAGTGGAATTCATTTCCTCTTAAATAGAGACGGGAAAAGGAGGGATGATGCCTTAATTGAGATGGAGTCCTAGCAGAACGTGCAGAAGGAGGCCTTAGAAAAGCACAGGACGTACATGGGGCAGCGCTATGTGGAAATGTATGAGATAAACGATGAAGATGTGGATGCCTTAATGAAGAACCTGCAGGTCAAGTCTTCTCCTGTGGTAAATGATGGTCTAGTTGGAAATAAAACAATCCGACTCTCCACATTTGCTTTTCCAGTGGGGTACCCACCCTATATTTTAGAACAAGTAGGGGTGTCTTGCTTAAATAAAACTAGCATTTAATATATAATTGTGTAAAGGGTTTGTGAATAGAGCTGTATTTCTGTCACATTGTGGCAGTACCTTCTGCTTTAATACTAAATAGCTTGCTATTTAAGTATTGAACAAAATGGCTGGCTTCAAAAATAGTCATTAATAAACTAAACTGTATGTATACCTGTGTAAAAGAAAAAAAAAGAATTCTACATCCTGCCCCATAGGCAAAGAGACTAGGCCTAACATGACTTTTGTGACTTCAAAGTCCACCCACAGTGATATGCATATTCACACAATCATGCCTCCTAACCCTTCAAATTTTGCCACTCACTGATAACTATGGATTCAAATATATGAGCCTATGGGGGAATATTCTTATTCAAACTACCACAATGACATTAACTTCTAAACCATTTTCCCAGCCTTTGCATTTTTTCATATATATATATATATATATTAATTAAAATATAATCAATTACATCATTTCCCCCTCCCTTCCCCCCCTCTAATGCCTCTTGTTCCCTCTGCAATTCAGAGCCTCTTCATTTGGATTATTATTGTTACATACAAATATATAAATACAACATGCTGAGTTTCTTTAGTGTTGCTTGTATGTGTATGATTTTATAGCTGACCAATTAAAGGGCTCATTCCTGGGAAAGACCCTTTCTAAGCATTCCTTAGTTGCCTTCAGTTCTTTGTCTAGAGATGGGGCCCCTTGAAATTTCCCCCTCCCACATTAGCATGCCTATTAGTGCTCTCATTTTTTTTAGGCAGCCATAGTATTATAGTATGTGGGTGCACCTTCCCTATCATTTTAGGAGATATAATCTCACATCAAACTTCCTGGTTCTTTCTGTTCTTTTAAGAGGAATGTGCAGGAGTTGTGTTATCTGCTGGGGATGGGAATTCCACAATAAGTTGTTCTGCATATTTTGACCAGTTGTGGTTTTCTATTATGGTCGCTATCTGTTGAAAACAGAAGCTTCTTTGATGACGAGTGAGCGCTACACTTCTCTGGCAAAGATGGCTGGTGAACAAACTTGTTCTTTAAATAGCAACCAGATTAACAGGATTCTTTCCCATTTGCTACCACAGATCATGATTTAAAAAACAAAACCGAAGCTACAGAGAAACCCTGTCTCGAAAAACCAAAAAAAAAAAAAAAAAAAAAACCCGAATGATGTAGTTCAATGGTTGTGCATTTACTAAACATGTGAAAAGTCTGTGGTGGTTTGGAAGAGAATAGCCTCCATAAGTTCCTATGTTTGAATACTTGGTACCGTATTGACAGAATTGTTTGGGAAGGATTAGGAGGTGTGGCTTTTTGGAGGAGGTTTGTCACTGGGAGCAGGTTTTGAGGATCAAGACTCATGTCATTCCTAATGTGCTCTCTACTTTCTGATTGCTGGTATGAGAAGAGAGCTCTCAGCTGTTCCTGCCACCATGCCTTCACTCTGATATCATGGACTCTACCCTTGAAAACAATAAGCCTAATCAGACACGTTATTTAATAAG